TCGCTCGGGACTTCTTTGCAATTTATTCAGGAATCGTTTTCCCGGCGTTCTGGAGTCGCGCTCTCGCTGGAGGCTTGCTTGCAATTTATTGAAGAATAGCGCCCTTGCGTTGGAATTTCCTGCAATTTGCTCAAGCGCCGCGCTCCCGACACCCAGGCACCCAGGAGTCGCGCCCGTTGTGCCTCGTCATTGCCTTCTGCAGCCCAATATACGTATGCCCTTCGTGCCCCCCGTTCGTTCGCGCCCGTCGTGGTCCCATGTGCATGCCCTTCGTGGCCCCGCTGTTACCGATTGTGGCCCCCTCGCTGTCCTACGTGGCCCAGTTGCCACCTTCAGTGGCCCCATCGCTGCCCTCTGTGGCCCCCATTATTTGCCGTTCGTGGCCCCCGCTCGTTCGCGCTCTTCGTGGCCCCAGACGCATTCCCTTCGTGTCCCCGCTGTCGCCCTTCGTGGCCTGCTTCGTGTCCTTCGTGGCCCTGCTGTCGTTCTCTCTCGCTCTCGCGTTCGCTCGTCGTCGCCGTCGTCGTCGTCGCCGTCGTCGTCGACGTCGTCGTCGTCGTAGTCGGTCCCCTGTCGTCCCTCTTGGGGTCGGGTCAGCGGTCCGCGGCCGCCCCGCCGATCAGCGCTGCCGCTGGCCAGGCCGACGGTCCACGGCCGCCCCGCCGCTTGCTGGGGCCCGGCCTGCAGGGAAGAAAGGTGTGCCCCCCAAAAGGGGTGCGATCGAAGACGAGGAGGGCGGGTATCGAGGGTTTGGGAAATATGCGTTGGATGACACTCGAACAGATAACAGCGAACAGTTTTAAAGTGACTGTTGTTTTTGCTGGTTGTTGTTGGTGCTGTTGTGGTTGCTTTTGTTGAATTTTCATTATTGAACAAATATTATTGGTCCCCCCCGTGACAGTTATGCTTATTCGCTTGTCCCTGGGGCTCGCACCCTGCTTTTCACGGAAAGTCACTCGGCTCAAATTGCGACGTTGGCCCCCGGATTATAACAACATCGGCTCCCGCTTGAGACTTCCTCACCATTTAGCCAGGACCCCCGCTCCCGCCAGCGATTTTCATTAATTTTACTCAGGAGTCGTGTTCTCGCTTGGGAATCCCTTACAATTTGTTTGGGAATCGCTCTCTGGGCGCTCTGGAGTCGCGCCCTCGTTGGAGTTTACTCAAGAATCGCGCTCTTGCGTTGGAATTTCCGCAATGTCCTCAAGCGCCGAGCCCCCGACTTTCAGGCACCCAGGAAACGCGCTCACGTTTAGGATTCCCTCGCGGTCTACTTAGGAATCGGGATCTCGCTGCCCTTCGTGGCCCCGTTGCAGTCCTTTCGTGGCCCCCTCGCTGTCGTCCGTGGCCCCGTTGCAGGCTTTTCGTGGCCCCCTCGCTGCCCTTCGTGGCTCCGTTGCGGCCCTTCGTGGCCCCCTCGCTGCCCTCCGTGTGCTCCTTGCACCCCTTCGTGGCCCCCTCGCTGCCCTTCGTGGCCCCGTTGCAGGCTTTCGTGGCCCCCTTGCTGCCCTCTGTGGCCCCGTTGTGTGGCCCCGCTGCACGCCTTCGTGGCCCCCTCGCTGCCCTTCGTGGCCTCCTCGCTTCCCTTCGTGGCCCCGTTGCAGCCTTCAGTGGCCCCCTTTCTGCACTTCGTGGCACCATACCCTTCGTGGCCCCCGCTCGTTCGCGCCCGTCGTGGCCCCATATGCATGGGTTTCGTGGTCCCGCTGTCGCCCTTTGTGGCCCACTCGCTGCCCTTCGTGGCCCCGTTGCTGCCCTCAGTGGCCCCGTCATTGCCTTCTGCAGCCCAATATACGTATGCCCTTCGTGCCCCCCGTTCGTTCGCGCCCTTCGTGGCCCCATGTGCATGCCCTTCGTGGCCCCGCCTTCGCCCTTTGTAGCCCCCATCGCCGTCCTACGTGGGCCCGTTGCTACCCTCAGTGGCCCCGTCGTTGTCATCTGTGGCCCCCCATTCTCTGCCCTTCGTGGCCCCCGCTCGTTCGCGCCTTTCGTGGCCCCGTACGCATGTCCTTCGTGGCCCCTTCCTGCCCTTCGTGGCCCCGCTGTCGCTCTCGCTCTCGCTTTCGCTCGTCGTCGTCGCCGTCGTCGCCGGCGTCGTGGTCGGTCCCCTGTCCGTTCCTCTTGGGGTCGGGTTGCCTCCGATCAGTGCTGCCGCTGGCCAGGCCGACGTCCGCGGCCGCCCCGCCGCTTGCCGGGGCCCGGCCTGCAGGGAAGAAAGGTGTGCCCCCCAAAAGGGGTGCGATCGAAAATGAGGAGGGCGGGTATCGAGTGTCTGGGAAATACATGTTGGATGGCACTCGAACAGATAACAGCGAACAGTTTTAAAGTGACTGTTGTTGTTGGTGGTGGTGGTGGTGCTGTTGTGGTTGTTGTTGTTGTTGGTGGTGTTGTTGCTGTTGGTATTTTCAATTCTAGGGACTAATTATAGTTGGTCCCCCTGTCCAGGAACCATTGCATTTGTTCAATTAGAGTGTTTTCCCGGAGCTCGCACCCTGTTTTCACTAGGTGTCACCAAATTGTTCCCCTGGCCCCCGGTTTACAACAACAGCGGTTCCCGCCTGATATTTCGTCACAATGTATTCCCAAATGGCGCTATCGCGCGGGACGTCTTGACCATTTACACATGGATCATGCTTTCACGTGGACATCCTCGCAATTCATTCGGACGCCGCGCCTTCGACATTCAGGACTCGCGGTCTCGTTGTGGATTTCCTTACGAGATATTTGGGAATCGCGCTGTTGCTCGAGACGCCCTTGCGAGTCATGCAGGACGCACGCTTCAGCAACCCGACTGCTCGACCTGGCCGCCTGGGCCCGCTTTTCCGACCCGCCTGTTAGGGTCCACCCGCCCTATTGGCCCGCCTGGTTCTGCCACGTGCTTTCTGCTCCTAGCCCCTGTCCTGCTACTTTTTTTTCTTTTTTTTGTTTGTTCTCTCTCTCTCTCTCTCTCAAGTGCTCCATCCTCCTCCCTCCCCCTGGTCCCTTCCTTCGATCCGCCCTCTCCTCCCATGCCTTAAGGGCTGCGCGAAGTACACGTCGCAGGTAAGAAAGCTACACCTCCAAGGGGGCACGGTCGAAGACGAAGAGGGCGTGTCCCGAGGGCTTTGGCTCTACGTGTTGCACGCGGTCCGGTGAGCGCGATCGGTCTCAAAGTGATTGCTGTTGCTGTGGTTGCTGCTGTTATGGCTGGTGTTGGTGTGGTTGCTTGTTGCTGTTTGTGTGGTTGCTTGTGATGCGGGTGCCTTATGATGCTGCGAGTGTTGTCGGTGCTGTTGTGTTTGGAGTGGTTTGGGTCTTGTTGTGGCTGCTGCTGTTGTGGCTGTTGTTGTCGTTGGCGGTGTTGATGGTGGTGTTGTCGGTGTTGGTGGTGTTGTTGTTGTTTGTGGTGTTGATGCTGTTGCTGCTGCTACTGTTGCTGCTGTTGGTGTTGTTGCTGTTGCTGGCGCTGTTGGTGCTGTGGTTGCTGTTGCTGCGTCTGCTGTAGTAGTAGTAGTAGTAGTAGACGTAGTAGTAGTAGTAGTAGTCGTCGTCGTCGTCGTCGTCGTCGTCGTCGTCGTCGTCGTCGTGCTCGTCGTGGTAGTAGTAGTAGTAGTAGTAGTAGTAGCAGTAGTAGCAGTAGTAGTAGTAGTCGTAGTAGTAGTAGTAGTAGTAGGAGTAGTAGGAGTAGTAGGAGTAGTAGGAGTAGTAGTAGTCGTGGTAGTGGTAGTAGTAGTAGTAGTTGTTGTAGTAGTAGTAGTAGTAGTAGTAGTAGTTGTTGTTGTTGTTGTTGTTGTTGTTGTTGTTGTTGTTGCTGTTGTTGGTGTTGTTGGTGGTATTGTTGTGGATGCTGGTGTTACCATCGTCGTTGTTGGTGCTGGTGCCGGTGCTGTTGTTGCTGTTGATGCTGCTATTGTTGTTATTGTTGTTGGTGTTGTTGCTACTGTTGTTGTTGGTGTTGCTGTTGTTGTTGATGATGCCGCTGTTGTTGTTTTTTGTGGTATCTCTCTCACTCTCTCTCGATGGACTCCCTTGGTAAGGGGCATCTTGGGAGCCTCTTGGGGCCCTCTTGGGAGCATCTCGGGAGCCTCTTGAGGCCCTCTTGGGACTTCTTTGAGGGGTTCTTGAGGGGTTTTTGGGGGTCCCTTGGGGGCCTTCTGGGGGCCTCTTGGGGCCTCCTGAGAGCCTCTTGGGGCCGAGGGCTCGAAGTGTCAGTCCGGGTCCACCGTGCGCGCCATCTTGGGGGGCTCTTGGGCCGTCTCGGCGCTCCCTTGGGCCGTTCTGGCGCTTCTCTGGAGCCTCTCGGGAGCTTCTCGGAGTCTCGCGAGGGCCTCTTGGGGGTCTCCCGAGGGCCTCTTGGGGCCGGGGGCTCGAGCTGTCCGTCTGGGTTCGCCGTGTGGGCCCCCCTTTGGAGCCGCTTTGGGGGTGTCTGGGGGCGTCTTGGAGGTCTCTTGGGCCGTCTTGGGGGACTGTTGGGCCGTCTGGGCGCTCTCATGAGCCGTTTCGGCGACTTCTTGGAGGCTTTTTGTGACCCTCTTGGACCAATTGTTTGGGCCGTTTGGGCCGTCTTGGAGCGTCGGGAAGCCGAACAGGCGAAAAATCCCAAATCCTTCCACAACCTAAGGGCAATCAATGATGTTTGCCTCCTGGGGCCCTCTTGGGGATGCTCTTGGAGACCTCTTGGGCCGTCTTCGACGCTTTTCCGGACAGCCTTGAGGCCATCCCGGTTGTTGTTGAAAAGTCTGCAGCGTTTCGAAGCCCAGCGTGAGCCAGCATAGATGGCGTCTTCGTCATTTTGGGGGCCACGAAGTGTAGACTTGGAGGCTTTGGAGACGCGAGGGGCGTTGATGAGCTCTGGCCCGCACGGGGGGGGACCTTAAACTGGATGTTGGGCTGCCGGGAGGGGGGAAGGGGGAGGGGACCAGCCAAATGTCTCACACGCCTTGTCACCCCCGGCAAGCGGGGGTCGGCGGATAAGTATTGGTATTGCTCCTGCTCCTGATATTGTTGTGCTCCTCGGGCAGGAACGCTTCTTCCCCGACCAGCTCCCGAGGGTTATCGGCAAGGCCTCGCGCGCGAGCCCGAGACAGGGAGACTCTTGCATCCCCTTTGCGTAGACTCAGTTTCGCCATATAGTTGCGTTGCCGCGCAGGAGTCCGCCGCCACGTGGGGGGGGGGACAATATGGCAAGACTCTGACGGTGCGCGGATGCGCTCTCGAATGGTTCTTAAGTTAGATGTGCATGTCGCGGAAGTGTGGCGTCGATACATGAGCACGTTTGTGTTAGTTTGTGTGTAGTGTGATGTGGTTTGTCGCTCTCGAACTCCTGCGTTCGCTGGTCCATCCAATGTGGTCGCCTGCATGGGTCGTCACAAGGCCGCCGACGCTGAAGTGTGTGTCCGGGTGGCGCTCAAGTGTGTGTGTGTGTGTGTGTGTGCGTGTGTGTGTGTGTGTGCGTTTTTGTTTAATCTTTTGGATAGTCCAAGGTCTCGCCCTCGTCTGTATCTGCTGCGCTTTTCTTGTCCTGCCTTGCCACTCGCCCCTTTCGCTTCCGTCTCTGTTGCCGCCGCTGCGCCTCGCCCTACCCCGTTTGCATTACCTGTGCTGGCCGTTCGGTACCTCCTCGCTCTTCTCCTGCGTCTGCTCTCCCCCCCGCAGCCCACGCCTGGGTGTGGGCATGACGCAGCTGATCCCCTCGGGAGGGTCTTTGTAGCCTGTTTCTGAGTGGGCCCGGGCGCGCGCGCGAGGCCGCGACGTCCGAGAGTGTATGTGTGTGTGTGTGTATGTTAGTCTGTGTGTGTGTCAGTGTGCGCGAGTTTGTGTGTTTATGTTCGTGTGCGCATGCGGATGGGACCCGGGAAAGGGCCTTTTGGGAGCCCCAGTGAGGCCGGGCTTGGAAGCTTCTGAGGGCATCCTTGGGAGCTTCATGGGTGTTTCTTGGGGCATTGGGGCCCGCAAACTGAGGTCACGGGGCCGTCGTGGCAGGGTTTATCTTGATATCAAGTCGACCAGCTCGATCCGATTTGATCTTGACGGGGTCTGGAGGCCGTCTGAGATGGTCTTAGCACGCCATCCTGGGCCGGTTTTGGAGCGGCCTGTCGTCTTTTTGGGCTTGTCTCGGGCCGTCTCGAGACCTTATTGGGCGGCATTGCGACGCGCAGGAGGAGAAGGAGGAGAAGGAGGAGGAGGATCCACCACAACTACATCTGGTTGTATGTTTTTATGTATTTATGGCTGCATGTAGGTAGGTAGGTAGGGATGGATGTATGGATGGATGTAAGTATGTCTATATGTATTTGTGTGTATGTAACGGAATATAAGGTAATGCCATGTAATGCAACGCAATGCAATGCAATACAATGCAAATGTATGCAGTGTGGTGTAATATAATGTAATGTAATGTAATGGAATGGAATGGAATGGAATGGAATGTTATGTTATGTATGTATGTATTTACACAGGCACCCCTTTGGACCTCGTCGGAGGGTGGCGGTGTATAAATCATCACAATCATGGGCTAACGATCTTGTACTGGCTCCCTCCTTGAAGGCACTGGGAACATTCGTCAACGGGTGTGTGTATAGATGTTCGTAGCGTAGAGGAGAAGGAGGAGGAGAGGAGTGAGTGAGTTGGAGGAAGAGGAGGATTCTCATTCCGCTCCCAATCATGATTCAATACGAGTACTACTCTCCCCTCTGCCCCGAATATGGCCAGGGAGTAGCCCACACCATCCGCGTTTTGCTCTTTACACGGGATGTTAGTATGCCGTCTGTCCTATGGTGTTTGCCCGTCGGAACGCTTTCGGTGTCCCAAGCTGGTGTTCTCGCTGCAGCGCTGGCCTCATTTTAGGATTGGCATGTGGCTCCCCTCCTTCAGAATGGCTCTCGATCCGCAGCGCGGGCCACGCTTCTGGATTCGAGAGCTTCCTCGTCGTTCTCGCCCCGCTCCCTTCCCACCCCCCGCCTTCCCCTGGTTATCCTGCTCCTCCCGATCCTTCCACTCCTGCTCCTGCTGCTGCTGGTCCTCCTCGTTTTCATCCTTCCTCGTTCTCCTCATCCTCCTGCTCATCACCCTACTCTTCCGCCGCCTCCTCCAGTGTACGCAGCTCTTCTTTTGTGATGGTGCATGACACGATGGGACCCTTTTGGTGGCTAGACAGCCACCGCGTCAGTGGCGCCACGAAGAGACCACGCTTGTTGCTGGGCCCCCATCTCAAGGTATGGTTGGTGGCAATGCGCTCAGGAGACAGGGCTGGACCTAAATGGTGTTTTGGCCATCTCGTGGGCCGTTATGTTTGTCGTGTTGTTTTGCATTCAGGGCGAAGCGACGGCAACACGAGGAGACACGAAACACAGCCCGAAAACGAGACACGCCGTTTAGGCTCCGCCCTGAAGAGATGTGTTTGTGGCACTGCGCTCAGGAGGATCGCTTCACGGAGGTGCTGTGTCGCGGTGCGGGCCGCTCCTTCTTCTCCCCTCGAGACTTGCGCCGACAAGGAGAGCATTGGGGTTCTTTTTGGGGGGCCCGGGTCCGCGGTGACACCCGTTGGCGGGTATCGGACGCAGGAAATAACGGCGCAGTGGGAAGGGATGCAGGGCGCATGTCGACTCCTCCGATTCGAGCCGATTCGATTTCGATGGTTTCCGATGCCGATTCGGTTCGACTTGGGATTCCGATTTGGGATCCGATTTCTTTTTGGACGACTAGCCTGCCGATTTCTGCCGATCCGACTTTTCCCGACTGGGCTGCCGATGTCCGCCGATCTGATTCATTTCGATCGCCGATCCGACTTATCGATTTGATCATGGGCTTTACCGATTCGATTCTGGGCTCTCTCGGGGATGGGTGGGAGGGGTAGGATGTCAGACCTGGCGCGAGCGCCCCCGGCTTGCCCCCCCCCCCCGGTGGCTCCCCCCTCCTCTTTGCTTGTTTCGCGAGCACCACTTGCTCCAGGAGAGACGGCGGCCCTTCTCTGGGTCGTCTGGGAAGAAGACAGCAGCACGAGCGCGTGCACTTTTTGGAGGTCCGCGCGGACTTCTCGGATCTGCGCTGGACCCCGTCGGAGGAAGGAAAGGTGCCCATACCGCTGCCCTTCCCCTTTGTGGGCCTCCTGGGCGGCCCTCGTCGCCGCCGCTGGACTTCGCCTCGGAGTCCTGGTCAGAACACGCCCCAGGAGAGGTCCGGGGAGCAGTTGTATCGGTACCTTTGGGTTTCCCCGCCCCCCTGGCGGCCCCTCCCCCTCCTCCTCCTCCTCCTCCTCCTCCTCCTCCTCCTCCTCCTCCTCGTCCGCCTCCTCCTCCTCCGCCTCGTCTGGCGCGCTCCGCCGGTGCGGATCTCCGAAAGGTCACGGCCGTGCGCGGCTTCTTCGTCGGGTGTCGTCGCGGGTCGTGCCGGAGGCTCTGTAGGGCCTGCCTCGGGGTGTTTTGCGGGCTGATGTTTTCGGTCTGGGTGGCTTTCCTCCTCCTGGCCCGCCGGGGAGCTGCGTTTTCGGGCCACGGGGCCATCAACCATGGATCTGGGGCATCAGGGAAGTGTCAAGACATCTGGCGTCCGCGGATGGAAGTACACAATCCATCGGCAGTTTGGATCTAGGGTGGCAAAGCAAAGGTTTCACATTCGCGCTGAGGGTTCAAGTGTTTTTACGTGTCCTTGGTTCTTGATGGGTTCGCAGGAGTGCTAAACGCTTGTGCATAGCTTGTTGTGACGTGTTGTGGACTTCTTCGCAGTCGGCGGGCCGTCTAGAGTGGTGTTTTTTTTGAGCCGTCTGGAGGGTACTGAGGCCGTCTTGAAAGTCTTGGGCAAGGGGCGTCTTAGATGTGTCCCAGACTGGGCCGTGTTGGGTTTGTCGCTTGGTCTCCGGACCTCTTGAAGCTGCCTCCTGGCGGTCGTGGGCCGTCTTGGCGCTCTCCTGGAAGCTTACTTTACCGCGGGAAGCAGTCTGGGGCGTCCCGAGGCCGTCTGAAGGCCTTGGCCACATCCATTTCGAGATTTCAGGGTGGCTGAAAGGTGTTCCATGTTTCGCCAGCGTCTACCTGCAAGGGAAATGGATGGAGGAGAGGAGGAGGAGGGGAAGGGCGAGGCAGAGGAGGAGAACGAGGAAGAGGTTTCCGAGCATGCAGCATGAGGGGGAGGAGGAGGAGGAGGAGGAGGACGAGGAGGAGGAGGAGGAGGAGGAGGAGAAGGAAGAGGAGGAAGGGCGAGAATAGGAGGCGGAGCGGAAGAACGAGGGGGAGGGCGAGGAGGAGCTAGGACGAGCGAGGAGGAGGACGACGAGGACGAGGAGGAGGAGGAGGAGGAGGAGGAGGAGGACGAGAGGGAGGAGGAGGCGTGCCAGAGCACTCCTCCAGAGCCTCTGGGGGGCCTCTTGGGAGCCGAAGGTTTCGACCCAGGGGCCGCAGTGTTCTCGGCTGCTCCGACGTCCTGGTTTGTCGAGGTCCCTGTTTGCGGAGCCTTGATCCTTGACTCGTTCCCTCCCCGTCTCCATGACCCGAGGTGGCCTTCCGTGTGTGCTTTTTGGATCGGGACCTCGGCCGCGCCACAGTTCAGGATTATCACTTTGCTCCCGCCGTTAAGGCTGGCGCTCGCGGCCTGTATTTCTAGATCCGAGCTCCTCCTCGACCGCCGTTCCCGCCTCCCTCCATCCCCCTACGCGTTCCCTGGTCATCCTGCGCCTCCTTCGCCTGTTGCTGTTGCTTCTCCCCCTTCCTGACATTCCTTTTCTTCTTCCTGCTCATCCGCCACCTCTTCATCACAAAGCCCTTATTCATCTTCTCATCACACCATGGGGCCACTGGGTCAATCAATGTCTACGGCACCTCAGTCGGCGGATCGGAAGTGATTCAGCGCAGTGGGAAGGCATGGGTTTGCCGGGGTCATCAGGATGTCAGATCTGGCGCGAGCGCGCCTGAGTCTCCTCTCCAGCTCTCGTGCTCCCCACCCACCTCTCCTTTTGTCCTCCCCTCCCCCTCGCCTCCCTGCCCCTCCCTTCGCTTCCCTCGGCAGCACGTCACTGACCCTTCGCCGGAGTGCGCTTCCTCCCCCTCCTCCTCCTCCTCCTCCTCCTCCT